TAAAAGGAAGGTAAAATATATCATGCAAATGCAAAAAATACCTATCAGGGAAAGATTTCAAAGCAAAGAACATTACTAGGAATAAGAAAGGCAACTTAATAATGATGAAAAGATCAAATTAATGTGAATTATTTGACAATACTAAACATTAATGAACCAATAACAGAACCTCAAAACACATAAAACAAAAAGATATCTCACTGACAGAAAGGAAGCAAAATGAACTAGAATATAGAAGAACAGAAGTTACAAGTTATATCTTTGAAACAGGTACACAAGGAACACTTCCCATATGGAATTTATGGATCATTAAACAAGAATAATTAAGAGAAATAAAATTATATAAATGTTTCCTAACTACATGCAATTAAAATAGATTTTTTTAAAAAAGGGAAAGATCTTTGGGGATTTCCAAATATTTGGACGCTAAATAGCACACATTTAAATAACATGAGCTAAAAACAAAACCAAAGGGAAATCATGAAGGGCTTTGAATTGAATGAAAAAAAGAAATAATATATTAGAATCTGTGGGGATGCAAAGCATTAAAATGTCAGTATAGAAAAGTTCTCAACTCATACTTTATGGGGAGAAAATAAAACATAAAAAATAACAAAATACCTAAACCTGTAACACACAAAATCACAGAAAGATAATGACAGCAATGTGACTTGAGGAAAATCATTGACAAGTAAGTGTCCCTCTAAACTGACCCAAATAAACAGGAAGACAAGCTTAAAGAGAAGACCCATGAGAGATCTTACATGTTTAAAGGAATATGAACAATTTCACATGAATAAATTAATCAACTTAATAAGAGTCACACAACAGCTTATCTTAAAATACAAGTAAACCTAAGTCTACTTGTTAATTCTGAATTTGCAATTAAAAAAAAAAAAAATCCAGGGTCAGTGAGAGCACTCAGCTAATAAAGGCACCTGGGAATCTAAGTTTAATTCCCAGGACCCATGTCTGGAAGAACAGACTCCCTCACGTTGTCCTCCAACCTACACACACATACACCCCAATGTAATTGTGAATATTTCAGGCTCCAATTGGCTTCACTAGGGAATTACATTTAACAATGTAGTTCAAATTCCCTCAAAAAATTAAAGATGAAGGAACATTTTTAACTTATGCAATTACATCAGCATGACCAAAATGAGAAAGCCTGGCCAGTTTAAAGGTTAATTAAGAAGCAACATACACTGTAATAAGTCGGGGTCAGACCAATTAGGAGTCTACAGAAATAATTAAAATGAAAAGGACTTAACTACAATACTGTAATTATCTTTCTGCCAGAGGAATTTACCCCATGTGTGTACAATCCCTTCTGATAAAGGGTATCGTGGATAAGTAAGAATCTGGGAAAACGAATTGGCTAATGGATGTTTATTCGGGGAGAAATCACTTACACCAGAAACAGATGGCCGCCAGCAAGTTCCCGTCCCATGCCCCAGGATGCTGTCTCCAACTTGGAAGCAAGAGAGTGCTGGGGTCTGGGACCCCAGGTCACACCCCCACCCATCCCCATGCCCCAATGGGCATGGTCAGTGCAACAGATGCAGGCAGAGAGGCTCTCTCTCTACAAGAGGGCTTGTTGAGACACTGGGGGAGTGGAGGGAGATGGATTGGGCAGTAGTGGGGGCCTGACCCGATGGTTCACTGAGTTCAAGTCCAGCCAGGTTACGCAAGACTCAGTCTCAAAGCAACAGTAACAAGGACCTTTCAGAGGAAACCAGAACCGAGAGACTTAGCAAAGGTGAATGAGGGTAGTGTCAGCCAGTGCGGCAACAAAAACTAAAACGGATGGTGGTGTTGGCGAATTGAAGAGCCAAGGCACACACTCAGGATCATAAAAAGTTTGGAGAAAGAATAGTTTATGACAGTCTGACTCAGTGAGCTCTTTGTGTCAAATACTCGGGAGCCGGAACTCAGGCAAGTAGGAGACTCCACTCAACCTCCAGCAAGCACATTGTGGCTATTAAACACAGTGGCATACTCAAAAGACAACTAGCAAGTCGTTCACATTTAGGCTGTTAAAAAGAAAAAGTTCTATTATAAAAAAATACATTGGTAGTGGGCTTGTCCTCGGTATTTCTCCACTTGACCAAGCGCTGCTCATCAGCCTTGACCGAGAACCGTGCCTTCGATAAGATGCAGAGCTCTGATGGAGAGATATTTGAAGTTGATGCAGAAACTGCCAAACAATCTGAGACCATCAAGACCATGCTGGAAGATTTGGGAATGGATGAGGGAGATGATGATCCTGTTCATTCACCAAATGCAGCAATTCTAAAAATGTCATTGAGTAGTGCACCCATCACAAGGATGACCCTCCTCCTCCTGAGGATGAGGAGGACAAAGAAAAGTGGACAGATGATATTCCTGTTTGGGACCAAGCATTCCTGAAAGCTGACCAAGGAACACTTTTGGAACTTATTCTGGCTGCAAGCCACTTGATGTCACATGCAAGACCGTGGCCAATATGATTAAGGGGGAAACTCCTGAGGAGATTTGTAAACCCTTCAATATCAAAACCGCCTTCACTGGAGAGGAAGAGGCCCAGGTACGCAAAGAGAAGCAGTGGTGTGAAGAGAAGTGAGGTACTGTGCCTGACACGGTAACACTGCAAGGGTTGTTCCCAATGCTGGCTGCCCTGCTCTGTTTGTAACTGTTAATATTAGAGCACGTAGACAAACACAGCCTTGTCCTCCCTGCATGTGCACTTGCAGTACAGATCTGACCTATGGCTGACTTTCTTCTATGAGCAGAAGTTTTTGTTTTTTTTTTTTTTCCTTCACTCTGAATAAAACTGAACTTTAGGTTCTCTGTGGAAAAATAAAAAATACATTATAATACTATCATTATACTTGTGATCCAATGTGTCAGAAGTGGCTGCTCCAACTTGGCATCCCTATATGAAGTCAAATGAAAAAAATCCACACACTGCAGTCTCCAAAAGTTTCCCAGAGGGCCTCTCCAGGCCCTGCATCTGCCGCAAAACACTCTGGAAAACCAGAACGGCTAGTTTTATCTGAGAGGGCAGCTAAGGCAAGGGCCTCACTCGTTGTGGATGGGCCAGCCAAGCCAGGAGGTCATACTAAGCCTAGGTCCTGATACGCACAGCCCACAGTCCACTGCATTTGATGGCACACAGGCTTGAGAATGGCTTCTGGGAGTCACACGGGTCCTGGTGATGGAACTCAGGTCACTGGGCTTGTCAACACATGCCTCTACCTGCTGAGCCATCATCAGCCCTAGTTAGTTTGTTCTTAAGGAGGCAATGTTAATTAACTGGTTAATCTCACCCCAAAGGCCACACAACTGACTGGCCTTGCAGAGAACTGTACCTCCTCAAAAGCAAAGTGTTCCACTTGCCATTAAGACATGGTGGCCATTATCACTACACAAAAATCCCCAGGAATCCATGCCATGAACAAACAAGGTCTCCAAGCAGCTATGAATGGAATACCACCAAATGTTTGAAACGGAAAGCCTCAATAGAATTTACCTGTAAGACAGGACTGCCCGCCCCATTATGTAAAAATCTGCCTGGGTGGTTACTTCTGAAGCCTGGAAGAGCAAATCACATTTCAATTATAAAAACAAGCTGTGAATATGCAAATATATCCCACAAGACAAAATTTCAAGATTTTCATTTTATTAAAAATATAGCAACATAATAGCAGCAGCATTTGATAGCTCTTTACTAGTACCATGTCAAAGACTTCCACTCAGACACACCTAGGCAGTATCATTATGCTTCCTTTAACTTTCCCCTTGATGATCTATAGCACTGTTCTAGTAAACTACTTGAGACCAAGAGGGTATTTTTTAATTGTTACAGTATAAGTATACAGTATATTTTACCCTGTATGGAAATCAGTCCTGCCCATTCTCCCTCAGTCCTGCACTGCCCACTGTACTATTTCCTGGTAGAAGTCTACAATTCTCTAAGTGTGAGTTTAATAAATCTGAACTTACATAGTCAGGAATGTTTTCACCAGCAAATGTTAATCAAGAATATAGAGACTGACATCTCATTTTGATCCTGGAATTTAAATGTCCTATCTCCCCAACTGGCAATTTTCCAAATTAAAATATTAGCTGCCTATAAACTTAAATATCAGTCTACAGATTAAAAAAATCTACCTTTAAAATATTGTTATGCATTGGGCTGCAGTTCAATGACAGAACACTTTGGAACCTGGGTTTAATCCCCAACATCAAGGGGAAAAATATAAGTATAAACAAATCAATTCCAGAAACCATTAAAGTTTCTTAGCCCAGATTGTAAAAACATCTATTTCTAAATCTAACCTGATTATGGACCAGAAGTCATACATGGCTTTTGCTCTTAATTTTCTAATTATGTATCACTCCACTCCTCAGGTGAAAGTATCACTAAACATATAATAAAGGACAAAAGGAATTGAAAGGCTGACCTACTGATTAAGTGGGAAACAAGTTTCACTTTAAAACATTATTTTGTTACATTTATATTAGACTCCTACCCCCAGAAATAGGATGAATCCCTTAGAAGAGCATTAAATCTGGTATCTGAAAATAATTTAAGTGTCTATTAGCAAGTAAACATGAGAAAACATTACGGTGGACAAACATATAAATATATAATGTACAGTCACTCCATTTCTCCATCATGGGGATGGCTTGACTTCATAATCCACTCAGGTAAATCCTCTTTTCAATGACTCCCAAATGCTCCTTTATCCAAATGCATCCCTCCCAAAGGACCAATGCTATTAACTCAACTAACATGAAATGAAATCATACTCTATCTATAATGCACTGTAAGTTGAAAATATTTTAAAGGCTATTAATGAGCTCCCTAATCCTTAAAATTAAATAATCTCATAGGTTAACACGGGTATAGTAAAAGATCTTTTTAAACTTTGAAAATAAAAGATAGCAACACAAAGGAACATTATTAGTATCTTAAAAACAGACTTTTCTTGACCAAAAAAAAATAAACCATCTTGATTATAAACAAGGTTTTTATTTGTAATTGAGTATATAAAAATGTAAGCCTCTAACATAAAGACAAATACATAATAAACACCAAAGAATCTGTTCAAAACAGAGTAAGCATGGAGATTACAGGCTGAATAGTGTTTTCAGTTTAAGCTAACTAGATTAAGGTAGAAACATAAGTACTGCGATAGTCACAGAAGTTAAGGATGTGCTGCAGTCTTCTTATAGAGCCACCAGGTCAGTGCTTGCCCCCAGCTCAGGGTGCACATGAAGGCATCAACAGTATCAGCTCCCCCACAGAGAGGGAAACCAACTGCACTTGCTGCCCTGCCGGCGGGAGGGTTCTCCCATCTTACCTCAGGGTTCCCTGACAGTTTCTTGGGTGACAAAAAATATTTTTGGTTTTTTTCAAGGCAGGGTTTTTCTGTATAGCCCTGGCTGACCTGGAACTTACTCTGTAGACCAGACTGGCTTCAAACTCAAGAGATCCACCTGCCTCTGCCTCCTGAATGCTGGGGTCAAAGCTGTGCGTCACTACTGCTTGGTTGACAAACAACATTCTTGAAAGAAATAAAATAGCTTAATAGAAAACACCAAATGAATAAAAACAAAACACATGCACACCTGCCTTCCTGCATGCCTCTCACACATCAACCCCACAGCATCTGCTTTAATTTCTCTTGTATGCCTACTTATTCTGAATCTGTAAAGCCTTTTTCTGCATTAATGATGATTATTTGAGCAAATAAATACGGGCACGGGAAGCAGTTAGTGGCAGGAGTGGCAGTCTCTCCCATGAAAGACAGGAAAACGTCTCGACTTAATTTAAAGGGCTGTTTTAGAGGTGCGCCACGTCAAAACCCTCCGTGTGTCAAACAAAACAAGAGCGGGATGAAACTCAAGGCGTTCCTCTAAAATACTCAACTTTATTAGAGAAATGGTACTAAAAATAACAAAGATCAAACATTTGCTCTATTCTACTTACACACCATAAATAAGACAGCGGCTGAAGCGAGACACACTCCTTCACAATCTTTCCACAGGTGCCCAATCATTTCTGTATCAGAATAAGCTGTTTACTAGCCAACCATATGTGGCTGAGCGATTAAAATGGCCATCTATACTTTACATAGTAAAGCATTTTCCAAAGTTTAATGTACACAGTGACAAAAAGGAAACACATATACACACAGTAATCTGAACACCTGAAGATGATTAAGCAGCTTCATAATCGAACCAGGCTTTACGACTTGGGAGAAAGGGCCTTTCTATGCTTCAAATTATAGTTTCAACAGTATTGGTGTGAAAACAAGACTCAAGTTGGAACCAAGCAACTAAAGTGCTACTTGACTTTTTCAGTCTGTGACAGTCACCCTTCCCGTAAGGTAAGGCAACTGAGTAATTTTGATTGTATTAAGTTGTATTAAATAAAGTTAAAATTCGTTTTTAAATAAGATCTGCAAATTAAGTGTTTTTGGTTTTTAGGGAAATGTAACAATAATGACTAGTGCATTAACCAGACCCTATAATTTTGCAGAAAGCTTTAAGAGTTTTCATTTTACTACTTGCATACTTTCTATGAAAAGCTGAGTCAAAGACTGGTGGATGACTGTGTGTCTTAAACTCACATAAGCATATCGTTAAACACAAAACCATCTCTGTATGCTCCCAGTCCTTCCTCTAAGTATAATTTCTGTATCATTAGAAGAAAATGATTGCGAGGTAATATTAGGGCCATCCAATGAAGTCAACTAAAAGGTTTCCTCTGATTTGAAGTAAGAGCATGTCTCCCTTTCAATCATCACAGTAGAAAACTGGCGGTCCCAAAACTCCAATGTTGTTGGGAACTCCACACGTCTTGTAAACGGGACTTCCTTCTCTGAACTTAATGAAGTGCTTCTGACACACCCCTTGCACACTTCCCAATGGTTGTGAACAGAATACAGCCATCTAGATTCCATATGAATTGTGAATGACAAGCACATATAAAATCCTAGAAAACAGTATACCACACATTGTAGAAGGCACTAAAGCTTCAGCTTGTGCTCCCATAGCCCATTTTGAAAACTCAGTTTCCTTTTTATAAGGGCATCTTTGCCACCTACAGCTGACAAGACACACTGCAATATTATTCATGAGCTTGGAAATGTCAACAAAGTTCAAGAAGAAATGCTCATTTTGTGGCAGACCCAATGATTCTAAACACTGAATTCTAACGTGTTGTTACTAGTACTCAACACAGTTGCTCTTCTTTTGAAAGAGAACAGTAACATGCATTGTCAGTTGGTTTTTTAATCCACTTATTTAAGCAATTTTAATCTGTAAAACTGTTTTCAAAGAAAAACTGATGTCCAAAACAGTAAGCAAAAGAAAACACAATAGTGAGAATTCACCACAATCACGGTTAAGTCCTGTGAAGTAAATGTTAAAACTTCTTACATACTTTGCACTTTACAAGAGTGTATGTATATATTTGCACAAATTTCAAGCACATCATCAAACTGTATATATTGAAAATTTTTTTAAAAAAGTAAAACAATACAAAATTCAGTAACTAGCATTTTCTTTAAGAGCCTCCAATGCTCATCTCCAGTCTTTAGGGATAGTTCAATTCTGGATCTGTGATGTTCAATTTATTTGCAATGCTTCTTGGCAAACACTAATGAACCACATGACGAGTGTGCCAGTCACCATGGAAATGCACAGACTTCAGAAGATGGTGAATTTGGGTAACATCTGATTATGTTCATGATGCCCATGCTCAGTAACAAGATAGCCACAATGTCACCTCATAGCTGGAAAAGCTGTTAGTTCCCACACGTGGGTCTCTTTCCCATTCACACCTCATTGCAAACTGAAAGCTTTGGGTTTGATCCCACCATGAAGGGAGAGATCCAGCAGGTGGTCCTACACCACGTCAACCTTGTTGCAGAGGCTCTCTTCAGTTGGCTGACAATTCCCATTCTGCTGTACTTTGTTTTCTTCCTCCGTCCTTGGTGGGTCCTTCTCATCTGCATCTTGGCTCACATTTGAATCTGCCTCTTTACTGTGTTCCTTCTACAACAAACATCAAATGCACAATAATTGTAATTATGTATGACTAACTGACATAGCTCAGTTTTTTTTGCGAATAAAACTGTAGTGTTTTCTTTCATTAAACAACCATGCAAGGGCATGCATCAATTTGCCCTTTGTACATTATTTCCAACAAAAGATGAGCAACTCATGATAACAAAATCAGAATGGGCTAAAAAAAATCGTAGCTCTTCAAAATCATTCTCATAAAACCCCAAAATAGCCAAAGAGCTTTCCAAAACAAATGTGAACATGTACAAAAGGGAACTGCTGTTCTTAGAAAAGCAGTCTAAATTCTGTCTCCAGCCTAAGGGAGAATTACATGAGAACAGAGAATGCCTAACATTTAATACATGCTTAATAAATAAGGCCAACGTCACTGATGATAACAACAAACTTCCATCAGTAGCTATTTCCAAACAGAATTCTACTAGGTGGCAAAGAGAACTGATATAATTCACAAGTATATAAAATTTCCAAGAAAAATCTTAATTAGGGAGTTTTAGTTTTCAATTCTGGATTAGTTAAGGAATTTGGTTTTCAATGATCTATTTATGAACAAATCTAATTTTAACAAATTTGCTCAAATGAATGCTGAGGAAAATGGCATCAGATACAAATCTCAGTATAATAAACATATCAAATACACTTATTATCCAGAAGTTCTGTAAAAATTTTTCCTTGTATGTTATTTACTAATTCTCCAAATAAGGAATTAAGCTGCTTAGGTTTTAATTGGTTCTCATTTCTTCAAAATGTAATCTGTATTAATGGCAGAAATGCCCTGAGCCCCGGTGCCCTAAGGGGCACCAAGCAGTCAGCCCCTGCACCCAGACCCCGGCTGAGCAGCTCACCTTAACTGGTGTGTTGGTCTTTTCCGCCCTCTCCTTCCCGTCATTGGAACTCTTTTTTGTGGAGGTGGAGCGCTCTCTTTCTCTCCTGTCACCAATGTGATCCCGTTCTTTTTCTCTCTTTTTATCTTTCTTATTTCGGCTATGATGAAAACAGGAGTTATCTTTAAAGAATTTAATGACCTACTATACTCTTGAAAACAGTCCTTACCTAACACAGGCCATCCAAAACAACGCTCTGTAAATACACGCTAGTAAACTGGATTGATAAAATAACCCTGACCTACGCTTCCCGTCAGTGCCAGGTCATGCCTACAGCAGCCACCAGTGTGTTCCTAGAAGGCACACTGGCTACCGTCAATTTACTACTTTCTTAGCACTCAAGATACACATACCTTCTGGAATAAGTGTGAGACAAAAACCAACTACAGTCAGCCTATACTATGATTCCTTATCCATAAATGCACGTGGCCACTAATCAAAAGTACTTAGGAAAAAGTTGCATCTGAACTACATACAGACATTTTCCTTTTCTGGTAATGAGAACCCTTCCACTAAATTTGCAACTCCTAAACTTTTTTCTTTGCATAATTCTCTGAATATACTACACACTGTCAGAGTTTTCATATGCTCCTTCTCGACGTAATATATGAGCATTCAAGCAGGAACAGAAAGGGCCTAGTGAGACAGTCGTTGATGTCAAGCACACTGACCTAAGTTTGAGCCCACAGACTTAACCCGTTAGGGGAGAACCAACCCCCCCAGTTCCCTTCTGATTCCCACATTCACACAAAACAGACAAAATAATTTAACACAGAATAAAAAGGACAGAGAGTCAGATGTGGGAGAATAGCTCCTAGCAAAATTTAGAATTTCAAATACCCTACTACATCCCTTGCCCACCTCATCTACTATTAGAAGAAGCAAGGAGCACCAGTCCAAAAGCAAACCTAAAACACAGAACAACACCTACTTTTAGAAAAAAGGTCCACAAACCCCTAAGATTAAAGAGGGAAAATTCTACAGAGCATCCGAGTGCTCCTGATCTGGCTGTGATGAATAGCTCTAATACACAACTACGAGCAACTTCCTGTTAGTAGCTTAAAAACAGATACAAGATTAATGAAACAAATGAAGGTAACTACAAAGCAGACCCAAAGACAAATGAAAAAAATTTGCTCAAAAAAGGTAACATTTCAAATCACTGGGGAAAAATGAATTGTTATCGTAGGAGTTTTGGGGACAACTGTCTAATCATTTGCAAGGTGATAAAATAGGATCCACATGCCACTCTACATAACAGAAATAAAGCAAATTAGTTTAGAGACCCAACTTATTTAATTAAATGACTACATACTGGAAGCAAATATGGGTGAATTCTAGCTACAACTAACCCTCCAAATATGTAAAACAAAACAAAATCCATAAATTTGTTTGCAAGAAACTTTACAAGGCAAAGCAAAAACACACCACAAAAAATTAAACCTCAACTCCTCAAACAATTTTTGTTATGGCTTAAAAATCAAAGGAACAACACAGAAGAGCATCATGGATACTGCAATCCAAGGGCTAGAAAGGAGGCTCTGTAGTAAGAGTGTGTGCTGCTCTTCCAGAGGACTGGGGCTTAGTCCCCAGAGCCCACGTCAGGCAGCTCACTATTGCCTGTAACCCCGAGCTCTCTTCTGAATCTGCAGACACTGCTCACATACACACACACACAAACGCACACACAAATAAAAATTTCAAGAAAATACAATTTAACTAAAGAAAACAAAACAACTAGTATAATAACCACCATAACACAGAAGGCAAGATTTGAATGCTATTAAGAATACCAGCAAACACAATACACAAAATACAATTCCTACAAAAACCATTAACAGCAGACACAGGAAAATCCATCCTAAAACTCCTGTGACATCTTGAAGACTCTCCATCTAGCTCTTAAAATAGAACAAAGTTGAGGCTGGAGACATGCACTAGGTGCTCTCACAAGACCCTGGTTTGGTTTCCAGCACTCTCAGATGGCAGCTCATAACCTCCAGTTCAGGGAACCTCTCCCACCTCCACAGGTCCCTGGCACACACACTGTGAACACGTACACACCCAGGCACACAAACATAGAAAATAAATGAACATATAAATATTTTTAAAGCAAAAGAAAAAAACAGGGTCAGGTGACTCACGATTTCTGATTTCAAAATGACTACAAAACTACGTTAACTGAAAACACGGACAAACATATGGGTCTATGGAAAGCCTAGAATAAACTCTTAAACACTAGATCAAATTATTTTCAAAATGGGTAAATGGATGCTTTCAACAATGGTGCCTGGAAAACTTGAAATTCACATGCCAAAGAATAAAGTTGAAATCCTACCTCTAAACCACATACAAAAATGACCTCAAAACACATGAGAGGGTTGACAAAACATCTCAGAGTAACAGCAAGTGTTCTGTGGCCTGAACCGTGCGTGAGTCTAATTTCTGGAACCCATATACAAGTAGGAGGGAACTAATTTCATAAAGGTGTCCTTCAACTCCAACACACATGCTGTTATACATGCATGCCCTCTGTGTATATCACACATGAAACTCTCACACACGTGCTGTTATACATGCATGCCCTCCGTCTATATCACACATGGTGATTAACAAAGTTTCACAAACGAAAGTGATAAAAGCAGACAACAGTTCATCACCACAAGTCTTCAAGGTTAGTCTGGCCTTCTGGCATGTAAACACCAATGAAACCCAGAAATAGTCACTGACCACACAAATACACACAAGGGTATGTTATCCTTTGTGTGAACAGATACAAAGTTGACAAATACCCACTTGCCTAACTTTACAAACAGAAAGACAACAGCTGAAACAAAGGGGACTGGGAAGGAGCAGGAGGAAGACCGAGCACCTCACAGAGCCAGTCCAGCGCAAAGGGACATTCTCTCTCTCATCACATGGAGACATTTCTAATGTTAAGAGCGGCAGAAAAGCACAGCTCCTACCTATTTCACAACACTTTTGTGTCTAAGGAAAAAAAAAAATGTTCATTTTCGTCTTGTAACTACACAAAACTGGAAAATGGGGCAGGGAATTCCCATATGGATGGAGTAGATGACACATGGGTAGAAGCTGATGGTTTTAAACAATAAGATCTTGTATCAATTCTGAAGAATACAAATACATTAGCCATTCAAAAAACAAAACTTGAATACAGATTAAAGGACGAGTCCTTCTCCATGGCTGCCCTCTTTTGTTTCACCAGATGTGTCCACCTACCCCCTGGGGGATGGAGACCTGGAAGACTTTCTTTTCATGGTCTTTGATGTTCTTGGCGATCTGGAAGAACTCCTGCTCCTCCGACGCCGCCTTTCCCTGAAAGACAAAACATGTCATTTTCTAAAATCAGCATGTGAAATAAAGGGACCCCAATTCAGGACGAGCATCTCTCCAAGACTACTTTGAGTAGTTTATCCTTTTAATGTTTTTCAGACCGTGACAACAGCCTCAGGTTCCTTAGTGCTGACACTGTAGGCTGCATATACCACCAGCTTAGCTTATTTTTACTTTTATCAGGAGAGGGGTTAAAGGGATCCTGGGGATCAAATCTAGGCCCTCCCACATGACAGGCTTTGCCACTGAGCCACTCCCCAACCCCTTAAGAGCCCACTAAACTCTTTTTAAAAGCATGCTTTATAACCTGATTTTAGTGCAGGTCAAATTATGAACCATAAATTGTATCATCGACAAAACCATTATCTGAAATCTCCAAAGAAAATATAGGCCAACCTCCTTTTCATTTGACATACTTTAAATTCTTCAAGTTAGTAAACAAAGTGATGGTTTCACTAGATGGTTCAGACTCTTTCCCATCAGCTCCTCTTTTCCGCCCCACAGCAAAGATTTTCTAATAATGTCTGCCAAAACTGGAAGGCAAGGTATCTTGCTAAAGTAGAGATGTGTTAGAGTAATAAAAAGGCATTCAAAAAAATGTATTGAGAAGCCACTTTCCCCTCTAGCTTGCTATCATTACTATTATCCCAGTAATTGAAAACTAAATGCACAAATTTATACAAGTAAAGTCTGAAATTTAGATAAGGAAATAATTACCAAAAAGAGTAAGATTAGTGATGTTCAATAAAAAAAATTTAAGATCAATATAATACATATCTAAACTACAAGAGTAGTTAAACAAAAGAACTTCATCATCTCCAAGGGATGAGGTATCAGGATATATTTATCAAATGATCAATTAATATAACCAATGATCTTATGTAAGAAGTTCTGATAAGGGCTGAGAAGTTCTGATAAAGTGCTTGTTGCCTAAGCACCCAGGTAAAAGGCCAGGCAGGGTGGCACATACCTGTAATCCAGCACCAGAAGGCAGATACAGGAGGATCTGCGAGACTTGCCAGCCAGCCTGGGCATCAATGAATTTCAAATTCAGTAAGCCTGTGTCTCAAAAAATAAGCTGGAGAGTGACAGACGGAGACATTGACACTGACCTCTAATGGCAACACAAACACACATAGATGCATACACATTCCACAAACACAAAAGAGCAGCAGCTCTGATAACCACTGACCACACAATCAAAATAACAACCCTTCTGAAATGCAGGTTGTCCTTACTATTGCTTTTAGTTTTCTTTCATAAAATTTAAGCACAAAGATTATTAGTTGTATATGTGGTTGTCATTTTAAAGGGCCAAAAAAACCCAAAGACCTGGAGCAATACAAACACTTCTTAAACTGGGTCTACTTTTTCAATTGGAAACAAAGAAAAATCCACAAACAACTCAAGACTTACAGGACTATTTTGGGGCTAGAAGATAACGCCTGTAAAGCATCAGGAACAGAGCCTGGCACACAGCAGGCGCTTGACAGATTTTCTTGACTTGTGGGAAATGGAACACAATGTTGGGGAAATCAAACCCGAAACTACTCACACATAACAGAAAAGCCCTTCCGCCTTTCCTTCCCTTTCTTAACAGTAAATTTCAACATTTGGTTTTGGCTTGTTTTCGTTTGTTTGGGGTTTTTTGTTGTTGTTCTTTTGTTTGTTTGTTTTTTGAGATATGGTTTCTCTGTGTAGCCCCACCTGCTCTGGAACTCACTCTGTAGACCAGGATGACCTCAAACTCAGAGATGGACCCCTGCCTCTGCCTCCCGAGTGCTGGGATTAAAGAAGTGTACCACTATGGCCGGCTGCATCGAACATTATCTAAATAAAAACATTCTCTTTGAGAATACAGATTAGGAGAGAATGTTGACTATAAAAGCATGAATAGACTTTGGAGCAGTGAGAATGCTTCCCATCAATAAACAAACCAGAACATTAGAAAATACGGGACCTTTTAAAAGGTAAGAAACTGCACCTGCTGTTGAACACAGATATTATCACTTACCACAGTTACTAGAGCAACGTGTGCATGCATGCATGCATGCCTGCCTACATACAGCCATTTACTAACCAACTCCTCATAGCCCATCCTTGTCTTTTGGTTTCTAGGTCCCAGGGTTTAAGAGTATGTTCAGGGCTGAATAGGAATCTTTCAGACAGTGGGGGCGCACGGCTTCAATCCCAGCACTGGGGAAGCAGGGGCAAGTGATCTCTCTGAGTGTGAGGCTTGCTGGTCTACAGAGTGAGTTCCAGGACGGCCAGGGCTACATAAAGAGCCTAGCAAAAGGGATTCCCCCAGAAAACAAGCATATATTATTCATTACAAAGGATTCAAACCATGTGGTGCTGTGAAGCAGAGTGTCTGGATGGCAACGACATGAAGAGTGACATGAAGACACCCACAGCATCATCAACAAAATCACTTGCAAACAGGTGCAATCCCAGGCTAAGCTGATCCCCGGGGCAAAGGCCGTCTGTTCCAGTGTTTCTATGTTGAGCCCATTCCTACAGGTACTGCTGCTTTCAACTTCATGGCTCTGCGGCAGTTTTTCAAAAGCAGGTACAAATACTAATTACAAAATCTTCACACTTATTTTTGTTTTTCAAGACAAGGTTTTTCAAAACCAGTCCTGCTTGTCTTGGAACTCACTCTGTAGACCAGGCTGGCCTCAAACTCACAGAGATCTGCCTGCCTCTGCCTCCCAAGTGCTGGGATCAACCGGGAGCATCACCCTTTCTTAAAGGAAACAAGGTACGACACTTCTGCCAGCAGAACACGGGGCAAGGAAAGGCCTGTCTTTACCACGGTGTAATGGTCTCACGAGCTTGCTGGAAGGACTTAATAAGGTGAGACATCAAAGTCAGCGAACAACTAGAACTGGCCTGTTAAACACTGCAATTAGCTTTTATTATCTTTTAATAGGCTAGCATTAAAAAATAAGCTATAAGATAACAATTTTTTAGAAAGAACTTGTTTGCAATGAAAAGCCAACTTTAAAATCTGTTCAAACATTTATTTTTAAGTATTTTTAAAAGACTAAGCTCAATAGAATCAGCTGAAATAAGGGATAAGAGGGTTAAACAACCTTGAGGAAGATTCTCAGTCTGTAGTTGTTACTATAGCAACATGCTGCCACATGGTGGCAGTGTATCTATTAATAAGTGGAAACAACAGTCCTGGGAGGAGAAGCTCTAATCCTTAAAACCAACAAGGAGAATCAGATCTTAAACATCACACACAAAGCCTAATGGAAGTAAAAGTTAACTCACATGACAGAAAGGACTCACACTAGAACTTTAGAAATCACAGGGCATGCTAAGATTTACCAACCATTCTAGAGAAACACCAAAGCTTCAAAGGTCAACTATTACACACAGGAATTTTTAAACATCTTCCCCATTACATGCCATCCTCTAAGAAAAATAATAAGGAATAATTGACCAGACTTAAGTACTGCATGTCCAAATATCTCACCCAGGAGGTTCAATGATATAGGGACCCCATTAACAGTAATGGTTGGTAACAAGCAGAGACACACAGGCGCTCACTGGCCAGCCAGTTTAGCCTACTGTGTCCTGATCAATGAACCAGACCCAAGGTTGCCCTTTGAGCTCCACACACACCACCACAGGCATGGGAGACACACACAGACACACACACACACACAGACACAGACACACATACAGACACATACACACACACATACACACACACAGACATACACACACAGACACAGAGACACACACACACACAGACACACCCCTACCTGCTGGTACTACGGGATCTTCGTGAAGCATTGTAACTTCTGGGTGGTGTTCTGGACTTCTTGTCCTTCTTCCGCTTCTCATCAGCCTCCTTGGATTTGTCTTGTTCCTTCTCCTTGTCTTTGTCTCGCTCCTTTTCATGGTCCTTTTCCTTCTCTCGATCTTTGTCTTTGTTTTTACCCCGTTCCTTGTCTTTTTCACGATCCTTTTCCCTTTCTTTCTCCTTCTCCTTTTCCCTCTCTCTCTCCTTCACTCTTTCCTTTTCCTTCACCTTTTCTCGTGTATCTTTTCTCTTGTCCCTTGAAAAACAAACAGAAATAAATTCTTAGCTAAAATAATTTGATCTCAAAAGAGTCCTCAGTTTCTCTACAACTACCAATACAAAACCATCTGCAGTGACTACAGACATTAGAAATTTCTGTGTAACTTAGGTGTGTACCTCAGGCTGCTAAGTAGAAGAATTACCATGCTGAGCTGACTCACACTGATCATATTTGCATCAGAGGCAATCAGTATTAATCCTAGATACTAAAGCAACAAGAAAAAGAAAGCTTTATTTCTCATGATAAGCCTAAACCACAATTTCAAATGAGTGAAAACAGTGATAAAATCTACATTTTCCTGGTATCTCCAGAACTCACCGTGAACGGGAACGACTCCTTGACTTCCGCCTCTCCCTAGACTTAGAGCGTTTCTTATGTGGACTCTTGGATCTACGTCTATCTTTCTGTCTTGAACGTGACCTGTTATGAGATCTACTCCTAAAGAAAAACAAATTGTAAGGAGATCAAAATTTATTCTTAGAATTTTAACTGCACAAAGTTAGAAATTCTGTTTACCAATATTTTAAATGAGCCTTCTATAATGCTTTAGTTATATAACACAAAAAAATTAAGTTTACTGATTGGAAAATTTAATTATTATGTAATGCACTATAAACATGTGTAAAGTCGTCAAATACATAATACAAAGTATTTCAGCCTGGCAGTGATGGCACACACCTTTAATCGCAGCACTCAGGAGGCAGAGGCAGGTGAACCTCTGAGTTCAAGACCAGCCTGGTCTACAGAGCTAGTGCCAAGACAGGCTCCAAAGCCACACAGAGAAACCCTGTCTTGAAACTCCCCCCCCCGCAAGATTTTTTTAGACTCTATATGGAATATAGTAATGATGATAGTGACAGTGTAACAACAAAGTATGAGTGGTTAAAGCCAGATTCATTGTCTGATTTGTGATGTCTTGATCTTATAACTCTAATTATAATCAGCTATATTAAAAAAAAATTTATCACTCTATTATTCTCCAAGAAAAATAACTGTTATTTCAATTCAGAGGTGGCCCCATTGAAATAACTGGGTATGTTTCAATGTTATTATTCTTATTATTTTTTTTCATAATAAAATATCCCAGGCTTGGTATTGGTGGCTCATGCCTTTAATCCCAGCACTCAGGAGGCAGAGGCAGGCAGATCTCTGTGAGTTCAAGGTCTACAGAGCTAGTTCCAGGACAGGCTCCAAAGCAATACAGAGAAACCCTGTCTAGGAAAAATAAATTAATAATAATAATAATAATAATAATAATAATAATAATAATAATAAATATCCCAGGTACTGTTTTCTAAAATATAACAAAATAGAGCTGCCAATGTAGCTCAGTTTGTAGAATCTGTGATGTCCTGGGTTGGATTCCCTATACTAGAACAAAACAAAAGAATTATTTCCTATAAAGTGTAGCAAAATAGATGGACACTGCTTAAGTAAGGAAGCGATGAGACACAAAGGCTTTGACTCGGTGTGACACCGAAAGGCACCTCTGCCACAGTGGCTGTGAGCTCTGGCTAAGTCCCCGTTCCATACTAATGTCCATGTTTCTCTGCAGTCTGAATCCCATCTACAGAGCCCAAGAATATCATGAGGTCTCAACCAGATGATGCATGCAAAATGCCTTGTAGCTTCTAGCACAGAGTAAATGTTTACATTAGCATACAAGCAAACTTTCAACTTCATCTTTACTTAGTCCAAAAGGAGCCAAGAACAAGTGAACTTTCCACAGTGTGCTTTACAGAACCAAAATTCATCCACATGGTCATGGATGTGCACATGTATGTGAGTGCATAGCAATGTGTGGAGGTCAGATCTCGTCTCCCACCAACTGGGTCCCCAGGACTGAATTCGGGCTGCCCCACTTGGTGGGCATCACCTCTACTTGCTGAGCCATCACATCCGCCCCATTGATAGTCATGTGTTAACAAATCCGAACAAATCCTACAAAAAAAGGGATTAAAACAGAACAAACCATCCTTGAGGTATGCTTTGAGACCAGAAGCATCCCTAGACCTCCCTTCATGTGATGAAATTTATTACATTTCCACTTAGACAAAAGCTGTTTATGTGCAGCTAATTTTTAACTTTCTACTATTAGTAAAATTATTTTTAAATTACATGACAAATAGCAACTTACCATCACATTGCATCAAAGTTCAAGTGTACATCAATTTTTCCCATTAAAACCCTGTGTCACATAGTTCCTATTCTGTGCTGTGAAGTTTCTGTAACCTAAAATACAGCATCTAGAGAACTGCCCTCCTTTTCTAATACTACATCTGTGAACAAAACAAATAACAAACTGTAGACAAATAGAAATATATTCCCCATGTCCTAGCCAAGGGCAGTCACACCTTCCTTCCTCTTACCATCCATCACAAGGAGACTGGAGAGGAGAGAGAGGGATTGGTGGGCACAACTATTATCACCCCTTTTTTAATTAACACATAATAACTGTACCCATTTATGGGGTACAATATGATAACTGCACACATGAATATAGTGCAGTGATCAAAGTCAGTGTGACTCCACACCCTTCAAGCATGTGACATTTCTTTATTAACAGGAACTTTTGACTCTTGTAGTTCTTTCTAAAATATAATAAATTGTTGCAATCATGCTATGTGTTGTAGCACATGAGAACTTACTCTGCCTACTAATTGTCTTTTAGTATCCATTATCCAGCCTCTTCTGCTCCTGGGGAACTGACCAGAAGTCAACTCTCCTTTTAGGAGAGCAAGATTTGAAGCTCTTTCATGGGAACAGTTTTCTGACTGGGGAAAAAAGTCCTAGAAACATCTGACATTATAATCTACAAAATCCTGCTAAGTCAGCTGGGGAGCAAAGGAAACTGTAGGAAGATTCTTTCAAGTCAAAACCTCCAAGTCGTATGCCTTCTAACTAAAGACCCCAAGCCTCTGTTTCAGAGATAACTCATTTTCTTTTGTCTTTAGCCTATGTGTACTTCAACATGCCATGTATGCGGAAGAGCCACTTATTTCCAGTATTAGCCCCAGATATAGCTACAGAGAATTCATTCGTGAATAAAGAACAATTGCCAATTTTAATTTACACATAATAAACAGAACAGTGGTTCTCAACTTTTCTAATACTGTGACCCTTTATTTAATACAGTTCTACAAGTTGTGATGACTCTCAACCACGAAATTATTTCATTGCTATTTCCAAAAAAAAAAAAAAAAAAAAAAACCTGTAATTTTGCTACTATTATGAATTGTAATGTAATATGTGATCCAAGGGGTCAAAATCCACAGGTTGAGAACCACTATCCTAGAGGGAGAAAATAGTAAATTCAAAGACCTTAAAAGTAGCCCTAATTTGTAAAAGCATGTAAAGTTTCACAAATTACGGGAAACTGATGTTAATGAACAAGTTTTAGTTTCTCTCAGCCTAAGAGCTTGTTCTTTATAACCATTCAAAACAAGATTCAGGAAACTAGTTGTGGTTGTTTGGCCCTCATAATCTCAACGGGAATAGCACTATTAGAAGGTGTGGCCTTGTTGGACGAAGTGTGTCATGGTCGGGGTGGGCTTTCAGGTTTCTTATGTTTCAGCCCCCTCCTGTTGCCTGTAAGATGTCAGACTCTCAGCTCCTGCTCCAGCACCGTGTCTGCCTGCATGCTGCCATGTCCCACCATGGTAATAATGGACTGACCCTCTGAGCTGTAAGTAGACTTTCCCAATGAAATGTGTCCTTCCTAAGACTGCGGGGACACGGTGTCTCTTCACAGCAGCGGTCTTTCATTACTCTCCAGCAGCTTCTTACTTCCCCGATCTTTATCCCGTCAACACGAGGCAGTCCGCCATCCATCCTTGTCTCCACACAGCTGTATCTGTTCTTCTACTCTGTCACTTCAACTCTGGTTCTAACTGCACATATTTTCTGGGTGTTTCTGAGACAGTGTCTTGCTGAGCAGGTTTGGCAAATCTGGTATTCACTCACTATGTAGACCACACTGGCTTAGCTCTGAGGTACTTGATTTTGAGCTTGCCTCAATAAGAGCTTGGAGACAGTGAAATCCCCAAAAGAGATTTAGTAAACTTTGTATGTACCATACCATTAAAGGAGCTAGACAGAAGTACACTTTACCAAAGTCAAACAAAGAACACTCTAATTTCCCATCTCATCTTTGACTCAGCAGCAAAGAAGACTCACATTTCAGGCATTGTGGGAGTTTGAATGAAAATGGTCCACAGTCCCGTAAGAGAGCGCACTATATTAGGAGGTGTTGCAGGAAGTGTGTCACTAGGGGTGGGCTTCAGGGTTCAGAAGCTCAAGCCAGGCCTAGAGTCATTCATTCTCTCTTCCTGATGCCTGAGGATCCAGATGTAGAATCTGCTACCTCTCTAGCACCATGTCTGCCTGTATGTACACCACCACGCTTCCCACTCTGATGATGATGGACTAAACTTGTGACCCACATAAGTCAGCCTCAATTAAATGTTTTCCTATGTAAGAATTGCTATGGTCATGGTGTCTCTTCACAGCAACAGAAATCCTAATTAGGACAGGCATGAGTCTCAAACTTCCAATCAAAGTAGGACATGCTGTAATTTGCACTGAGGTACCCTTTGCACCCCACACAAAGCAGCGGGTACACCCCATAGCTACACCATTTTCAGTACAGCATTAGTAAACAGTAAGCACACTAGCAGGTAAGCAAGCACTAATACTCTGACATCTTAACAATTTGAGATACAAAACTGAAAAGCATTAAGCATTGATAATATAGTCTCACCTGTGCTTTGATTGTGATCTCTTCCTTCTAGAATGGGATTTTGAGCTAGACCTGGACTTTGAGCGAGTGTGGGAACGAGATCGACCGCCTTTCCTTTCATTGCTCTTTCCAGACTCTGGGAGGAAAAAACCACTTTGCAGCGTAAGCTCAGAACAATTAAAGATCCCAGTTAATAATTAGGCACAAGTGGAATATACCACATATAGTGCAAGGGGCCTACTCTCTGTACATCCTCCTCCTGTGCAATTATCCTTCAGAAACATCCAAGAAAGTCATTGCATAAACTCGTTGAGTGCAGCCACCCTGCAGCAGTACATATAAACCAGATGATTATAAACAGCTGTTCGTAGTATTTTGTTGCTGCCATAACGTACGATTAAAACATGTCTGCAATTCCTACGACAGTGAGGCTAAGTAAGACCTGCCTGCATTTATTTTGTTAGAATTGAAGCTAAATTCCAAGTGTTAACTCAGGAAACCTAATTAAAGCTAAACCACATAGACATTCTGAGTGGATTTTAAAGTATTTAGCAACACAAAAATTTGAGTAAGTTTTCCTTTAATCTTGCAAAAATGAGTGTGTTTTCTAAATCATGTGCCCTTTCTCTTGTCTTAAAATTAAAACTTTGAGGGAAAGTCAAGCTGCCTATTTTTAGCATTTTACACATGTACTCTTTCCTTTTGAGCCTCACAATAATAATCACACTCTGCTTCGAGCAAACCAACCTCAATACCGACTTGCTGAGCTAAAGTTCAGAATCAGGAAAAGTCGGTTTGTGCTGACTTGTTCTAAGAAATCCACTTACTCTTTCTTGAGTTTCAGTCTTCTTATTTGTACCATGAAGGAACTGAGCAGTGTAACCCTAGAATTCCTTCCAGTTCTAAGAGTCTATGGTCTTTAGGACTATACAACAGCCCCGTGGCCTTACCTGGTTCAATAGCTGCTGAGATAAATGACTGAGCCTCCCGGACTCGCTTCATTACTTCTTCTAACTCCTTAGCTGCAGCCTGAGGTGTCATCTCAGGAGGTTTTACTATTGCATTGTTGGAGTGATTTATTCTAAATTAAAAATATTAGTATATCACAAACACACACCAAAGTTTAGAAAACACGAAACAACTGTTAGTATGATATACACATTTATAAATCTGAGGGTATCTCAGCAGCAGATAAGGACTAAAATAGCTAAATACAGAACAGTCAACAGCAACCTGAGATAAACATGATTAATCTCTCATTCCTGCCTTCCATCATTTCTTGCGAAACAAAGGAAAAAGAAAAACTCAAAAGTCTACCTTACTTATTCAACAATTGAACAGACTATTACAACTGCTTTCTTTTTGAAGACATGGTTTCTCTGTGTACCCCTGGCTGTCCTAGAACTCACTCTGTCGACCAGGCTAGCCTCAATCTCACAGAGACCTGCCTGCCTCTACCTCCTGGGTGCTGGGATTAAAGGCATGCACCACTCTCCCCAGGCATGAACCACTTCTATTCATTAGATTCTGCTAATAATCTGCACACACAGACAGGATGCAGGGGAAGCACTGTCCCATGTCTGAGTCGGACATAGCTTCAGAAAAGCATCTGGTAGCCCTCCCCTAGTAGGGAGGTGGCTTCTGTGACACCCAGACACACCTGCTGTTGCTATCTTCCCCATCCCACACTGAGAAGACTAGGTACCAAATAACAGTGACTCATCATGTAAGAGTAAATCCCAGCAAACTATTAAGAGATCAACCTATAAACTAAAACCCATATTCGCCTTAATAATCTACATGAAATACAATTTCTGGTCTTGAGTATCTGAAAAGAGATGTAGTGTTTACAAACAAGGATGGACATAAGCAGATTAAGTCACAATGCCTGATTTAAATAAAACACTTCTAAGTACCCAACACTACTTTCTTCATAGGATTTGAAATTTACCAAAATTCTTATTACAAAGAGTTCTGTAGTTCAATTACAAGTTGCCCTTAATCTTCAATCATCACAAAACAAACCTGACTTACAGAACTATACAGAAAAATGGCTGAAGCCATTACGCATCATATACAAACAGTTAATGGCCAACTAGATAATAATCAGAAGAGACATCTTCAAAGATAACATGCCACAGTGTCATGCATTTCATTTATACTTAACAGTCTCTTCCTTTCCACAAATTGCCAATAACTTTTTTTAAAGCATTAATTAAATCAAACAGTTTATAACTTTTTCAAAACCATTAAAATTTCTTTGTTGAAGATTTCTTACTTCAGTGGCCTGTCTCCAAACATAACTCCATTAAAAGCAAGGGCCCTTGGTACAGAATTTTGGTCTGCAAATTCCACAAAAGCAAACCGAGTTGGCTGAGTCTCATCACCTGCCATCCGAACAAACTTCACTTCTCCAACTTGTTTAAAAAATTCAAGTAGTTGATCAGCTGTCGTTGTCTGAGGAAGTAGAGTGACACTTTAATACAGCATTTTTTTTTTCTTTTTAAAATTAGGTAAATAAAGCAGTTAATGTTTGCAGGGAGAAGGGAGTACATTTTCTTTAGTGACGGGGCCACTGCCAAGGTTCCCATGTTCCTAGCAATAGCCCCTTACCTATGTGCCTCTAAGATCCTGATTACACTTCCTGGGTCACAAGAAACGCATCAGAGTTCTATAGAAGGGGGACTAGCTGGGAGGAGAGAGGGGGTCATGGGGTGGGGAATCACAAGAGAGTAGTAGGGAAAATGAATACAATCAAAATAATATGCATGCATGAAAACATCATAATGAAACCCATTATATAAAATATGCTAATAAAAATAAATTTTAAAATTATCTAAGTAAATAATACTTTATCAACAGAACTTTTTAAGAAGAATAAGCGGCTACTGCCACTCGGTTTCTTCTTAGTTACCTGCGAATTCAAATTCCCAACATAGACTGTCCTCCTAATCTCATCAATTTTGGAAGGATCCACATTCCCCATAAGTGGTGGCTGTGGGATCTCTCCTAAGGTCGTAATATTGGGGTCGAGTGCTGCTGCTGGTATGGCTCCCAAACTGCTAAGTGAAACACCAAGCTACAAAAGACAAAAGTACGTACACCGTAAGGCACAGTTTTCATTAGGGTCCAATGCGCTGTACTTTAATACTGCTTCCAGTAGACCAACTCCACAAGAATGGGAGGAGTAAAAGGGCTCCTTACTTTAAGCTACATGTATCTGAGTTATTAAGAGTGAGATCACATTATTCTTTAATACCACAACGCTTTTTTAACTACCTTTAAACTGATACTAAAAATGAGTACTAATTTTCAATGTTCAAGATAGTTGCAATCTGTGATTTACATAAACAGTGTTATTAACACTGCAGGACAGAGGTACGGTCAGGTTTCTGAGAGCCTGTAGTCACAACACCCTGTCCATCAAGCATTCAGTACAGAACCACGTGCCTTTCTGTCTGGTGGTCCCTCAGTCAATACATGTTAACACTGCATACTTGGTCAACAAAACAATATGGAAGCTTTTCTACATTTTCATCACAGGAACTGAGCTTTTTAAAAAGTACTGTGTGTGGGGAACTATTTAAGGAGCAAAATCACATACTGAGAAACAAAAAGAACAAAATTTCAAACAATATGGCACTAAACAAATTGGATTAAACTCCTCTGCAGCGGGGGTACTGAAACAAAAGCCCAGTCACGGTTATAAGCATTCTTCTACTAAGAAATCACAAGATACTAATTACTGTTTAATTCTACAGAGAAAAAAAAATTCAGGTTTTTGGTCACAACTTATTTCATCTCCTCAGTCATGCAGGTAACTACTTCTCTGAAATACTTTTTCCCCTGGCTCATGCTCATCTCCCTTCTTAAATGATTCAGTCCTTCCGGTCCTCCTGACCTGGGAAGTGATTAAGCACCTCCAAGTCTGTGCTATCTATATCTAAAGCACCAAGTTTCCGTAACTGATTTTCCTGATAAGTGATCCTATATGGGTTCTGAAATTTGAACAAGTCCCCAACTATTTCAGAGTAATCCCCCAAACAAGCTCAAGTAAGATGACATGGGGTAAATTTTTAAGTATGGACTTTAGATGGTTGCCACCAAAACAAAGTGAAAATAACGTCTCCTCCTTCCTCACCACTTTGCACAGTTTAGCGCTCACCCATCAGGAGGACTTACACTACTCACTGCCGTCAGAGGGCTGGAGGTCGGGATGGGAAGCAATCCTGCACCAGGCACCAGGCTTGTCATGGGTGGGGCAGGAGCCAGCAAAGAAAGGGCTTTGGCCTCCTCTGGGATTTTACCTGCAGAGGCAAGGTCCAAATATTATGCAGAGCAGAGACACCACAGCAACTTTACACTATGATTTTACAATTACCCTTGCACTTAAAAAATAATAATAATAAATGAATCTATCTATCAGATCCATACAAAGAAACAAATAAGAACAAAAGTAGTCTTTCCTTTTATCCTGCTCTATTAGGAAAAATAAAAGTGAGCAAAACTTCAAAGACTAGCAATCTCATTAATGGAACATTATTTTAAAAACTGAATAATGTAGACAATTATTTAACACTTTGAGCTATGGGTCACCTGTACTGGAAACTTAATGTTCATGAACCAAACGATATCAAGCATGGACGCTTTCCCAGGACGCTGTTTTCGCGGTGATCGAAAGTTGTGTTACACATGACAACCGTTCGTGTTGGCTGCGTCACTAATAGCACACAGAACATCAGATACAGAAAAGAAGAACATTTTTTAAAGTTTAATCCCCAGAAATGGCAAATAACCAAATTAGTCAAAAAAAAAGAAAGAAAAAGAAAAAAAAAACCAAATATGTGCGAATTGAAATCTGTTCCATAATGCGTGCCTCTAGTCTGTCACTGAAGCTACCTACTATGTGCAGACAATTCTGACAACCCTCAAGACTCCGCTCAACTGCAGATAAACAGAAGAAAACAGAAAACTAGAACATGCATCAGCTTCAATTTAAAAAGGTCCATACCCATTCATCAATCAGGCACCTCACCAGCATCAGTAATGCCTAGAAAGAATCCAATCCCCAAAACTTCATGGGGCTCAACATTTCCCCAGTCTCAGGAAACTTAAAATACTAACTTTCAGACACAATGTATGTATACTTATGTGAATAATAGTAACTACTACTTAAAAATGCTTTTCTTATGAAGCCTGTAGTTTTCTAACAGGAGTAATACTAAAAATCACTTTAGAAGTGAAGAAAAATGCCTGCGACTTTAAAAAAAAAAAAAATGAAAAATTTACTTTTAAGTTCATGATCTGCCATAATTAGTTTCTGAATTGAAAGCTGACAGACTAAAACTCCTGTTCTCCCCTATCTTTTTGCAAAAAAAGGTATCTTTCTCAAAATTGATTGCATATATAGCCATCCTAGTATTAACTCAGAGAGTCTTAAAACTGTACTTTAAAAAGAAAAATTACAAAAACTGAAATATATGTGGCAAGTTTTCAAAAGCATTCTGCCTGATTTCAGAGGTAAAATCCTATTTAAATCAACCAGATATAAGAAAGAAATCTCCAAACAACTTCTGGAAAGATCTCTAAGCATGGATGAAACTCAAGTTGGAATTTAAAACTTTAAATAATGGTTATAGCTTATCTATTGAAAGAAAATTAGAATTACAGTTTAGTGGCTTTGGCAAATGCATACTTTCTAATTTTACAGCATCTAAATTTAACTAATTTCGAAAACAAAGTTATTACTTTAAATCTGGAGAACAAATTTCTTAACATGCAGAATGATAACAAGGTAGGCCTTAAAGAAGATAGCAAGTAACAATGAACTACTAGTTACCACTATTACTATGTATCTACATATGCCCACTTACATACTATACTATTTATATTAAGTATCACATTCATTTTATCTACTGGAAATATATAGTACTTTTTAAGGTTTAATTAAAACCTGAACAACTCTGATGAGTAACTGCAGTACTGAGATGTGCACTCTATGCTTCAGTACCCTAATTTATGTACCTAAAAGAGTTCCAATCTAGTAACGTGCCAAATTTAATATCGCTTGTCAATAACCAAAACCAGCTACCCATACAGTACAGAGGCTACACAGACAGTAAGGTATTCGACATGGGCCAAGCCCATTACTTAGTACTGTGAAGCCTCAGTTCTACCTTAAATATCATCAGGCTAGCAGATTCTCCCTGCTATTCATGACAATTAACTGTAAAAAAAAAAAAATCAGTAACTATAAGCTCAATATTATTTTGGTCTTATTCAATTAAAGATACCTTAAGAAGAAAGCTTCCATTGTTTTATCTCCAAAATAAAATTTATCATCTAAAACTCAGAGTATAGAAGTATAAAACAAGTAAGCATTTAGCATTTTCCCCAAACTACACTTCAAAGAAAAATGAGGCAAACATCTCTCACTTTGAGTCCTGACTTCAGAATCCACTTAAAAAGCTATTAACCTCTAAAGAATTCTCAACAAAAAAATTCAAGCAAACAAAAACATATGCATGCAAAATAAATAACCAACAGTTTTCTCCAGTATCCATTCCCCATAGAGGCAACAAAAGGCTCCGTAGGACCAAGCTAATGAAAGACAAAGACCTCCCCCTACCTTCAGACTGTCAAAAGAAATGCACTTAATTTTCCTTGATGGTTTTACATGCCTACAGTTTTAGGGGAAGGATAAAAATTAGAAGCCATCAGTTGGTTTTATGAGAGATGTAGACTTGGGGAAAAAAAATAATAAGCACTAAGCCTATCAGAAAATGTTCCTACAATTCTAGTGTTAAGTGTTTTAATGTTTGAAGATCCCGCAAACACCAATTAAAAGGCACTGAGCATCCTCCCAGCACTTCGCTCTAACTTACTGCATGGCAATTTAGTTCATCTCAAGGTTCAGAAGCTCTGTTAATCATTCCCCCATAAATTTGCAACATGTTAGGAATTCTTAATGGAATACCATTTACAAAGAACTGGAAAGCCAGCTCACAAGTTAAAAGTGAGAGATTTAACAAAACAAAAACAAAACAAAACAAAAAAAAAAGGGACAAAATAAAAAGAAATAAAATGAAAGTAAAACAATAAGAACAGAGACAGGGCGTCCATCTTCTGCGGCTCAGACTCCGATCTCATTTCCCCAATGAAGGTTTCACTTGGCGGCAGGTTTAGTGGCATGGCAAACAATGCCTGGCTCAGGCAAGTGTAACAGGTCTGCCTTGGCCAGTCTAGTCATCTAATAATGCACAAATATCACACAGAGAAAACATACAAAACCAAATTAATAGTCAAAATCCATCTACCACAAAATGTGGACATAAAGTTATGACTGATGATTAGGCTCACACCTGCTACGTTGATCTTATTTTTTCTAAGTGTTAACATTTATAAAAAGAAATCTGAAATGCACGCAACAACGAAAAGGGGTCATATTTAGACAAGCATAGTGATTTTAGTCAAAATGGCATGTTTGATTAACAATAGTTCATGCTTGACTGGTATCAACACCACTTTTCCACCCTCTTCTCACATAACTGTCTGAACTAAAACCCAGCAAACTCAAAGACACTGAAAAATCTGGTGAGAGGTTTCCCGTGGCCTCTCTCGTTTGCACCACACGCTGCGTCTCTGTGTGGAGGCACAGCGAGGCAGGTGCACAGGGCGCACAGCACACCTCCTCACTCTCTCCCGACTCCCTCCATTTGCCTCTCACTGCTCTTTCTGAATATAGAATGCAGTACTTCTTTGTTGGCAGTGCATAATCAGGCTTAACAGCTGTGAAGTTCATCAGCTGTCTTTGACAAAACTAATAAAAATGCTTATCAGTGTCTTCCTAATACCATTTATAAATGTGGAAGTACAAAAATGCAGTAAATGTAAGAGTTGCATGTCCAAAAATGGTAAAATTTTTTCACAAAATGATAGCATTAAAAATAACTAAGGAGTTCTAACTGACTGTTTTTTATAAGTTACTACCAAGTTAAAAAAAAAAAAAACTAAAAAAGAGATTTCCATATCGATTGTACGGGATTACAGCAAGGTTCCAATAATGATTTAAAACTTTCCATTCAAAAATCAGAACTGATAAAAGCCTACACTATAACTTTCTGATATCTCCAGGTAAGAAATCTACTGGAATATTTCCTGTGCAGTTTCAGGGCACGAAACTTGGTAGAATTAATACTGCCTCTTCTCCCACCTTACTCCCCAACTTGGGGCTCTCTGTACTTTTAACTGCAGAGTGTCAGGTAAGACTCTACTTGGCAAATTATTTACTTTAATCCATCTTCCCTCTCTACTGTCAACCCCTGGAACATGAGAAATATGCTTTCAAATTTAGCTGGGGGAGAAAAAAGAAACCAGAACTTCCTGTTCCAGGATTGCAAAATTACCAGTCTGGGAGGAGGTGTATCTTATAGCTCTTAACATTTCAAAACTGGAATTCTGAAACAAGCATAAAATTCCCAAAGTGCAACAAATTCCTGATGCACTAGGTAATTTTAATGTTAACCTACTAACTACGAGTTTTTTAAATTACATATAAAAAGCCCATTGAATTGTTTCTAGCATACTTTTATGCTACAAAATAGTTATCAGCTAGCAAAAGAAAAATGTTCATTTCTAAGGACATGTAAATCTAGAAAATAATCAAATTTTAAAATCTACGCGCACACACACACACACACACACACACACACACACACACACACACATATATGTACAAGCCAGTCAGTACTCTAAGTTAATTGCACTCTGAAACAGTCAAAATGACTCTGGAAAAACATAATTTTTAAAAAAATAATAATTAGCTCTTAAAACAATTCAAGACATAAAATGTAACAGATATTGGGACGGCCTTTGGCCTGCTCCCACCTTCGACATCACTCCTTGATGGACGCTTTAAAAGCTTCGCTCCAGTTACCCTCCCCAATAAAAGCCAATCAAAAAAGTTCTAGTGGTATAGCAAAAATTATACTATAAATCCATAGTCTTGCAACAATTGAGAGAAACTACCGTAAGAGGATATTTGAAAGAATAAACTGAGTATTTTTCAAATGAATATAAAAATATCATAACCAATTTGGCTGAATGTGTTTTACTTGGGAAACTCTTAACTGTCCCATGAGTATATATATTTACATATGCATTTTAAATACTTTCCCATTACAACTTAAGTTTTTAAATTTCAAAAGGTTCTTACAATCTGCCAAAAAAAACTATAAACTTCCTAAATGTTCAGTTGTAAAATTTCAAATATCCGTAAAGTAATGAACTAACTATATCCATGTAATTTTCTATCAGGCGTTTTTCTTCTCCAAATTTTATTCTAATTTTCACACACACAAATGTGAGTGTGCACAAACAGACTCACACATAGAGTACTGGCCAATTTCTAGGAAAGCCAAACAGACAGGACAGAAACTAAAACAATAAGGAAAACCGTGAGATACTAACCTTCTGCACAAGGAACTACTATCAGAGCTCTGTCAATAAAAACCGTGTTAGTTAGATGCTGGGCCACACCAACACTCGATGGGTCACGAAACTTAATATAACATACTTTGGAGGAAAAAGCAAGTGGTGTATTGCTGCAAGATAAAAAAGAAAACAAATGGATTAATAAACATTTGCATGGTTTTATAATTTTCATTTGAAATTTCTTTCTTACACCAGACTTAGGTAATTTTCATTGCTAAAGATGATTAACACACAAAACAAACAACATATTGTAGTCATTCAATACTGACTTGTCTGACAAAGCAGAAGCCAATCTAGGGTTGTCTACAAAACCTGGGAAGTGAAATTTAAAATCAGTCAGTCCTGAGTGACATCCGAAAACCATGTTCTCAGGCAAAATTACTTTACAGAAGCTCCAGCTCTCAAGACTTTTCCCAACCCTAACTGAATGATTACCCAACATTTTATACCACTAAAAGCAAAGCGAAAACCATAGCTAGTGGTACCATGGGAAACCCTGGGTTCACTGCCAACAATGAAAAGGAAATCACTGAAAACTTCATAATAATAATACAACCTGTAATATGGAATTATACAAGAAGGTTTCTGCATATGCCAGATGGCTTCAGGGTACAAAGAAATGTGCTTTTTGGGACCAAAACAAAAGGTTTTTACAAACAAATGTTATATAATTTATTTTGCAAAAACATTAGACACTAGTCCATTTGATTCAACTCAATCTAGACA